GAGTAAATTTACATAACTGAATGTAATTCTATATTGAAATTATAGGAACATTGGCCATTTTTAGATTAATTTGTTTGGAGCGTTTGACGTTGTAGACAGTGTGGTGTGAGTGATGGACATGAGAAAAGAGAACCCTCGAATATGTACTCGACAACTAATGGGTTAATACATGAACTGCTTTTGTTCAGTTTCATCCTAGAACAGCTTTCTCAGCATAGATATCTACTGCCTTCCAGGCAGTGATTCTCTTAAATGGTCGTGTATTTCAGAAACTTTTCTGTCTTGATGAGCTTGACTTCGTATGGAATATCCTGACTCACGGGTTGCAAAAGTCTGTAGGGAACAAGATGAAATTACCCCTTTCGTTATACTCCGCTTTCTCGCCCTCATCCTTCACGTCAGAGTCCGTGGAGAACTGTGTTAGTTTATAACAAGCATCAGTTCTGATCTTCTGAAATCCTATTCCACCATGAACAAAAGGTGTATTCCCATGATTTGGGTAAAAGAAAAGGCTTTTTTTCATAAACGGAAAAATTGCTTAATAGTACAGGAGAAACTGGGATGCTCGTTATAGGAAGGGCAATAAAAGGGATAAGCGGTCTTGGCTTCAGTGGTAGGGCAAGACACCCCCATTTAGGGTTCTCGAGACTCCTCTGTAGGAAGTGTCTAAACCAAACAGTAAGTGAAAAGAATTATGCTTGGTGCTTGTTGGAACTTGTATTTTAAGGATTTTACTCGTGACTGTGTAAGACCGTTTAGTTTTGTTTGTTGGTTTCTAGGCCGCCAGACAACCTTTCCCCCTACATACTATTATACTTTGGTTTTCATCATGCCTTGGCAGGTCGTGTTTAGTCGCTTTCAGTAACAAAGCAGTCCCTTGTTTAGGAAATCATTTTAAAATTATTGAACACACTTTTGTACATCTTATCGATGTGATTCAAATTCTATTTGATATATATTGTAATGAATAATACGTCACGGTTTTTATTTTTTTGCAAACACGCCGTATTTCGTTTCTTTTTCTCGGAAATTTTTTTTACTGGTTTCTTTTACTGGAGTTTTGATAGATTTGCAGTAATTTAACTTGCAAAGAACCATTCTTTGCACTTATTTGTATTAAGTTGTACTCATTTATGGAGCTTGCCAAATTGTTTGTTCATGATCGAGATAATGGGCTACACTCATTTTTTTTATAAGAAACAAAGGTCGATGTTGAGTACTCCAATTTCTTAATGTTCTGGAAATTTCAATACTCATCGTTTCTTAAGAGTTTCTTAATTATGATGTCATGAATGATTTTATGAAATGTTCGTGACCTTTTTTATCACGTCAAGAGATTCGCTTCCGTTCCGATGCTGTATTTAGATGTGGGAAGTATATTTTTATCCCTTGTGCCTTAAGTTCTAGGCCAACAGGGCAATCTTGTTCTTGGAATTTACAAAATTTCGCTGTTCTCAGTTTTATCACGATTTAAGAGTTTCTTAACTTTTTTGCTTCGAGTACTGAAGTTTCTTAATTTTTCTGACTGTCCAGTACTCGTTTCTTATAGCCAGTGTCTTATAAAAAAATGAGTGTATTCTGGAAAGGTACACACGGTGCCTTCACTTGATGCTCGACAAATTCATGAAGGTTGAAGAGAAGTGGTCCTTGTATTGACTCTTGAGGCACTCCTTGATTGTGTGTTGCCCAATCAATGGATAGAAAATATCGGCATAGGGAACCATTTTTTAATGTCCTCAGTGCGGCTCTTTTGTCGATATAAATTGCAAAAATTTACTAAAGAATAGGATTTCGAAGCTTTTGGGATTTGTGAGACCCTTGGTAACTCCACATTGACATAGCACAATAACCACACTTTTTATTTTAATCATACTGTGTAAATCGTTTATCCAGCTAAAAATGTATTTTTGTCCCAAGCTTAAAATTAGGTAGAGCACAAGTCTCCTAACTTCAGTGCCATGCTATAGAATTTAGATTTCTATGACGTCACTGTTTTGCGGTAATATTATTTTTTCTTCTTTGCATCGCTAGTCCAACGCTCTGACTTTTATACACAGGACGAATTAGAGGGAGGTCTGAAAGCGTCATCCAGTCCCAGCTAGATGTCTGGTGTATTAAAATCATGTCTCTATATGACCATGATAATCACATAACCCTTAATTTGATTCTCCACTATTTGAGACACTTCCTTCTTATTTTTTCGAGAGTCCCGGTGGGTTGTTGATCAAACTTGTTTTTCCCTACGCGTTACGCCCCCCGCGGCTTCAATTTTGTTGTTGTCTTTTGAAAGAAAATTGGATATTTTTTCATTATCCTCTTGGTCCAAAGGAACGGAAATAACAAATAACTTTATTTCATTAGATATAACCGCAGACTCAAGATCATGGCATCTATCTTGTTCACGATCATGAATTTCAACATGTTGTGTATCCTTTTTTGCAAGTAAGATAGGCCCTGATAAACGAGAGAAACAATAGGGGGCTCAAAATTAAAGAGAATCAGGGAAAATCACTCAAGCCAGGTCAGAAACAAGGGGAGAGTAAATACACTCTTTGTTTTTGCTCAAATGACTGAGGGTAAGTTAAACGCTCGATAGGTACCTTTTTAAAACACAATTTGTGTGATTTTGACTCCAAATCAATGGAACCGCTCCCTTAATTCTTTTTTTTTTTTCAAGGATAAAAAATTCAAAATTGAAAACTTTCTTAGGGTTTTTAACTTTAGTACTAACGGTTCGTTCATTTTTTCCACTTTGTACATTAAGGTTCCTTGTAAAGTGGTTCCTTATTAAAAAAGCATGTGAACGGGTTTCAAAAGTTTACGAACTTGATTCAAATAAATGAAAAAGACGTTCCATGTGTACAGCAAAAGGTCGATTTATGATCCTTCCTACGCTTTTTAATGCTGCAGATGGCGCAAGAGACAGCCTTTTTCGCGCAGCACTTTAATTTCATAAGTGGTGCATCTCAATTATTGTATCCACTTAAATAGAGAACTAAAAAATTAATAGACGGAGAGATGATAATAAGCACTGGGTGCGTGGGAGAATAGCTATGGAAGTGACTCCACTTCAGATTCCGGTCTATATATGCCCCTTCTTTGAATGGACAGAACACAACCTAAACTGCGATTTCATTGTTTTTAGCATGGTGTGTATTAACAGAGAAAGCACCAGACCTTGTCAATTCAGACATTCATTTTGAAAGTATGCTTTAAAAGAACACTATAAGAGAAAATTTCGAGAAGTTTTTTCTGCAAATTTAAAAATTCTCATAGAATGGATTGGAGGTTAAAACCCGTTTCCGTTTTATTGCTTCAGAATTTCAAACTTTTTGCTGCTATTTTGAAATTGTTATAAATAAGTTATTGAATTTAGAAGGAAAATTCGTAGAAATGTTGGTAGTTTGCCCTGTTGAGCACACTGTGCTTATTCTAAATTGAGAAATGCAGGACTGGTTGAGCAGAGTTAGATGACTCTGCAAGAAACTTTCACTACTAATACAAAACATTTTCCCTGTGTTCAACCACCTTTTACAATGATCTATTACAAGATTTTGAGGACATTTTTAGGTTGAGAAATTTTCTTTAAATTGTGAACATAGTTCCGAGACACTATAAACTTTCTTATTTCACTCGAATTGGAAAGTTCATAGTGTTAAATTTCAAGTTCAAGCTGTGTTTCTGAAGTCAGTGATTGTACAATGCAACTCCATCGACCTTTCTTTATGCTTGTCTACCGTACTAAAAAGTTGCAGCTTCGCCTCAGTGACAAACTCTGTCATCCGTTAAGGTTTCTATTTATCCATGGGAAAAAAACAAACTGGACATTATCGGCGTTTCCCTAATAAGGATCAGTCTCTTTTCTCGAGATAAGTGACCGAAGATCTAGACTGACTTTTTTCGCAGTCAAAAGAACCGTAGGCCGATACCAAACAGGGATGAAACATGTCCCCGCCAGGCATATTTTTTATTATTTTCTCTAGCAAAGACTTGATACAGAGTAACGAGCCCATTTTCTGTCGGCTTGGGCATTTCAAACGCTTTTGCACTTCTGTTTAGTATGTTGAATGGTTTTTTCCATTAGTCGCGTGTCTTTGTAAGCAGTTCTTTAGTACTTTCGATTTAATAGAACTAATTAAAACCTTCTCTCTTTCTAATCTTTGCCCGACGTTTCAACCTTCTTGTTGCTTTTCATTTTTTAAGCCAAAGAGTATATTTTGGTATACTGCCTGTATCTCAGGTATAGAAATGAGGACGAGGGATGCACAAGTATACAGTGCCAAGGAATACTTACATTCACTCTTGCCCTCTGTAGTTCCCTTGCAACACACTGCCAAACCTCTGTACCTCTCAAAGTCCTGAAACATACCTTGCACTTTTATATAAACCAGATAATTTCTATCGAGGCTTGATGTTCTTATTTTTTGATAATTTGAGGCTCAAGTGTTTCTTAATGTTGTTTCATATCTTAGAGTTGATTTTTCTACACCAATATAATATATATGTTTTGTGGCATGACTTGTTTAGTAGCTTGGATGACTTGCTGATAAAATCTGCTCTGTTTGTAAACAAGAGTGTTAACTTATAGAAACGTTTTTTGTATTATTTTCTTAATTGGAGGCTGGTTATGTTCTTATCTAGTTCGTATTTATCTAAGAAGTCGAGCTTCGGTGTTCTTATACAATGTGTTTTTATAAAAAGAGTGTATTCACACGCTTTGTATTTTAAACCGGACTATCAGCTCGCGGCGTGAAAACCCTTTTCACCAAAACAGTTTTAGTACGATGGTTTGTAAGTGGACATGGGCGACCAACACTTTTATAGGGTTTTTCCAGTTTTCGGCAGTGTCATTAAAAGCAAATAAGCCAAAACGTTTTCGAACCATTTTATTCATAGCAAAAGGTTTGAGTCAAGGGTTGCTAAATGCCTATTCAAACTGGGTATTCAACCTGTTCAAATATCTCATTCTCCACATTTCTCATGAATGTATTTTGTTGCAGATGCCGAAGATACAATTTCGTTCAAATGCAAAGCCATCTCTGTATGCATACCCCGAGCCTTTGCAGCCTCCAAAGAAAGAGGAGAAGGAAAAGGTTCGTTAATTGACGTTTCTTCACCTATTTTACAATTTCCTGGCATTAAATATGGAAGAAAGATGTTTGTTAATTTTCTCAAATATTCCTCAAGCCATGTAACATCTATTTTGTCAAATGTCCTTGGTGGAAATTCAATAACTTGGGAACTACTTCAATTTTCTATACTTAAAATATCAACAGAAGTGTGACAAAAATAGTTGAAACAATCTTTTGGTGGTACAAACTTGTAAATGGCTTTAAAAAAAGCAAACATTTAGCAAACTAAAGCTTTTCGTCTAACACTCTTCAGAGTTGAAAACGTCATAACATAGATCGAAAACTCTACGCTAAGAAATATATATACCCATATATTTCTTAGCGTATATTTCTCGAAAACTCTTTCGTCTATTCAAAAGGACTGCGTTCCTGCCACACAAAAAAGTTCTGTTGTATATGAATTTACGTGCCAGTGTGATTCTGGCTACGTAGGACGCACCACCCAAAGATTGGAGGATAGAATAAAACAACATGTTCCGTCTAATATTAGAAACAAAACCCATCCCCAAAGAGAACAGCCACCTCGGTCTTGCAAATCTAAAATAACAACTATAAATTACAGCATATACTAGAAAACCTGATTGGCCTATTTCGATCCTCAACTGGGTATATATATTTCCTAGCGTAGAGTTTTCGATCTATGTTCTAACATTTTAAACTCTGAAGAGTGTCAGACGAAAAGCTTTAGTTTACTAAATGTTTGCTTTTTTTAAAGCCATTTAAAAATAGTTGAAGGAGTTCTGAAGCATTCCACGAGAAGATCTCCTTTCGAAGAAAGATCTTCGCAACTTTCGTCTTTGCTCTTCACTTACTCACTTAGACATCAGTAAGTTCCTGAACTACGTGGAGTAAGTCTTGGTACTTTTCAGATGAGGGCTAATTTGGATGGGGCTTATACGAGGGGTGCTCTTAAAGGTCATCACAAACTTACAATAAAATAGTTAGGTTTTTAGCTTTTTCACGATTTTCGAGTTTATTTTATTTGCAGTTTTGCTTGATAACTGTTTCTAGAATATCAGACCAAAGTAAAATTAAAAACAAAAAAATCATTAAAGTGGTCACGCCAATGTCTCGTTTATTTTGATTTTATTCATTCGCTGCTGAATATATTATCAATCATGGATTAAAATGATGAATCTTACTGTTGTATCTTAAGCCTTTGAGTGATTAAAATTTGACAAAAATTGTCATTTTATTGTGAGAGAGAGGGGGGGGGGGTTTATTCAAGGGTAGGTACTTCGAAATTGTGAGTGTGTAAGCACACCCACAATTTTGTGCCATTACCCGCTGAATCCTTGGCTTTTCTTTTTGACATATAAAGCAACCAAAATATATTTTTCTTCGCAGCTGAATTTTTCGCCTTCTGCCTTTTTTCGCAAAATCTTCATACAACCATTTTCCATAAAATTTTTCTTCATTAGTTAAAGGTCTTTCCTTTGTGATCCTTAATATAATTCTCGTTCTCTAGAACAAAGTTTTTGCTCTATTAGGCTACCGAGAAACATTTTTAGTTTCTCGTCATTAAATAGCAAAGTTAATGGCCTACTTTTTTAAGACATCAAGTCTTAAATTCTCGAGTTCTAAGATCGGTTTGTACTGTCAGCAAATGATTGAAATTTTGTTCTTGCCATCAGCTGCTTAAAGATTAGGTGGCGGCTTCATAAAAGTCTCTATGTTGCCGCTATAATCTAAAACTACTATTTGTTGATGCCCGTTCAGTATTATTTTTTGAATTGGAGGTGTGCCGATGCGTTAGGGACCCCTGTACACATATTGTTAAGAGATTCAAAAACTCTTGCGTTTGCTGGCCTGTCCTTGTGGTTTATTTTGTTCAAATTATTTGTAACGATGTAAATTTCTCTAAATTTTTTATACTGCATCGCACAATTACTTTACTGCATCGTTGATTCAGATTTAAGTTATAAAAAGTGAATGCTGAAATAACTAGAATCTTGAGTTCTTGAATCAATCATTTTTAATTGAATTTACATTAACTGAAGTGAATGCTGATATAACTGGTGAAACGGAGTCATCAAGTACCAAATTTTGGTGGATTTTTTTTCGGTGAAGCAAGGCAAACGAAAAATAATCCCACCGAAATTTCTCGAACCGAAGATCGAAATTCGCAAACGCCAAAAAAATCTCGTCTTTTACCGATGGACTTTCAAAATAACAAAAAAATTTTCCTAGATGATGTTTGAGTATTACTATACAACCAATCGATCTCATTTTTTAGTTTCTGGTTCTCCTTCATCATAAAAAGAAGATATCCAGCTCATCATCACTTTTTTCTCTTTCGCTCTCTACATCAAAGAAGTTTGAGTTCTCTATTGGCTGAACTGATGCTTCTACTGGCTCTTAATTAGTTTCTTTCAATTTTTTCTAACGTTCTAGCGGTTAATAAATCTCATGTTTATTAAATCCCAACTGACTGGCAAAAACCAAAGCCAAAAAAAGGAGCGATTTGCTTTTTGAAGGATTATTTTCCCCAATTCATTTTAACTTCTGCTTGTCTTTTTCAGGTTTCAACTGCCATTCTCTCGATAACAGCTAAAGCAAAAGCAAGAGCTAAGAAATCCAAAGATGACGAAGCAATGGATGTTGTGAGTGTTTTTTAAATTTTGCTGAACAATTGTTAGACTTTGTTCAATGACACCTGCACGCTGATTAATGTTTTGTAACATAAACCTTTCTTCAATTGACAGTTCTTCAGACATTATTATGTCGAATTATCGCTGTAGACGTAGGTGTACCACGTCTGTTATTGTCACTACTTAGTTGTGGAGGACGTCCCTCTTGGAGCCTTCTTTGTTAAACCCAGTTTGCCGGCAAATTTAGGACAAAGTGATCCGTTCTCAGAAAAAAGATTGAAGATCTGATTGAATTTGAATCAGTTTTAGCATATTTCTTTAGATAGTAATGACGTTTGTGTCATGTAATGACAATTTCAATTAGTCTTTTCTATGTTTCAGAAGATAAAATCTGATGTCTTTGTATCAGAATAAGATTTGGAGAATTTTACGATAATTGTTTCAGCTTCGAAAAATAACAATGTGCTTTAGGTTGGTTCGTGTAAGACGCACCAATGCATATTTCGAGAGAAGAGCGTATACTCTCGTTGAAAGTAGGGACATTTTTAAATAATAGGAATAGTACATTTTTGATGCTCAAAAGTTATAATTCATATAGTTCATACGAAGTCTAAACCTGTTTGAATTTTATGGTTTGATTTTCCATGGTTGCAAGCTGTATTTGAAAGAGTTTATGAAGATCATCCTGTTAAATTCTTTGAAATTTTATCACTAGGAATCTGTATAAATAATGGTTGTGATTGATAGATTTTGAGTAGTTACAGTGGAATTTATAGAATTACAGTCGCCATTTAGGCCGTTCTATCTTCTCAACGAATGGCTTGTAAAAGGTTGACAAGATGCTGTGTATTCATCAGTTATGCTTAATGCTCTAACATTGGATCTTGTCGATTTCTCTATTTCTTTAATTTCCACATTAAATGTTTTTCTGGATTATTTTTATTAGATACTTCATGTAATAGCAAAGTGGAATAGAGATTTTTCATGTTTCATATTTATAATATTTCATTTGATAGAATTATTTGGCTGTAGTGAATGACTGATGATGGGCGATTTAACTTTGTTGAAAATGCCCGAGAACGATCTAGAATTTTGGAAATAGAATATTATGAAGAAATACATTGAATAAAAGGAGCAGAGCCAGTTTTATTTCTGCTGATTTGTTTCTGATTATCCTTATCTTTTCTGTCATGTTTTTTCCGTAACTTCCCATTTTTCTCCTTAACAACAACTCTGCTTATTCAAGAATTGTTATGATAAAAATGCTCTTGTCAAATGTAATATTTAAAATATTTTGATGATACGAGTCGATTGAGAAATATTTTGTTTGGCAAGAAGATTGACAAATATTCTTCTTTATTACTGGTAGTTAAAACACCCTCACCATGTTTTTCCTTGGATACGAAAGCTTTTGTTGATTTACAGCAACATACTTCTGAGTGTATATGGAAAAGATCGCTTTAAGAAAATAATTGCTAGAATTAGGTTCATTTTGGTGCAGTTTATGCCCATTAAGGAAAACCAAAAGGGGCTACTTTCCTTGATCATCATTTAGTCACCCATTTACAGGGGTAGAAATTGTAGGGGTGTGGTGGGGCAGGAGCTCCCAGATTAATAATTATTGGACACTTTAGAATTTTTTCTTAAAGTTAGGGTTTGGGATATATCTGTGGCCGAAAAGATTAAATATAGAAAGTGACAATTTAAAATAGTTTAATGATGGGAAAAACTTGTTTTGATAGTCATTGATTTGTTCTTTAATTTCTGTTCCAAATATAATTGTTCTGGGAGATTTTAGTGATATCTTCTGACGCCATGTTATTACTTATTTTCAGTGAACAATTTTTTCTGGTTGTTTCCACATTAAAGCTTTCCTAAAGAATAATCAGTTTTCGTCTCTGCCCCTTCATTATATTTTTATATTTGTATTTTAGGACGAGAAAGATAAGGGAACAGAAAAAGGTAAAAAGGAATCTTCTGAAGACAGTAATCAGGAATCAAAGGAGAAGATTTCGGCTGAGAAGACAGAAGAGAAAGCCGAGAAAGATAAAAGTGAAACAGATAACGAGGGGAAAGGGAAAACATCAGAGCCCGATTTTCAGATGCTTGAAAACCCAGCCAGAGTTATGACTGCCCAAAGGAAAGTTGTAACCTTACCAACAGATTGCAGATATTCTCCTATAAAGCCGGTAAGTCTTGAAAGGATTATGTTTTTGTAGTTGCTGACGGATGCTTGTTAACAATCAAGTTTCGGTAATTTCAAGCAGCAAAATATAATTCGCTTTCGAGGTGGTCCCTGCTACGATCCGTTTGTAGGGGAATTGCCTTTAAGGAATTCAGTTAAGATTTCCATTTTGAATTTGTAAATTTTCAAGTTCATTTGCTGGGCAGTTGACTTAATTAAAAAGAATTACATTGCATGAATGCTCCTAAATTTCTGAAATTGATTTTTAGGTCTTTAGGTGTATTCTCTTCCTTGTATTCTTTGCTTTCCAGAGTGTTGTTGTCTAAGATGGAACTTTTCTATATATTTGTATTTCTTCCCTTAAAAGAAATTATTCTCAATTGCATTGATATTTATTGCTGGTTTTGGTTGCAATAAGGATACATAAACAGTTGAGATTGTTTGTCCAATCAATCTTAAGAACATTAGGATTTCTAGAAAGGTTTTTTGCAAACCATCGCAAAGATTCTGATCAACTAAGAAAACTTTTGGTTGCACTAAGGACTCTTCAATATTTAAAAATTTGGACTCTGTGGATTCTTAAGGATTCCGGGGAGAGATGAGAGATCCTAAAGAATTTTGCCCCTCAAATGACGTCTTCGTTTAACGTTTGAATACGAAAAAATGTTTCTGAGCTGCAAAAAACTTGAAAATTGATAGATTTAGAAAATATTGCTGCCGCACCTTTATCCAAAAGTTTTGATGTTACGGCGTATTTAACTCTCATGCTATTAATCTTTTGATGGTACAAAACTTAAAAATGGTTTCGAAAAAGGCAAACATTTGAGTATACTGAAGCTTTTCGTCTGACACTCTTCAGAGTACAAAACGTCAGAACATAGACCGAAAGCTCTACGCTAGGAAATTATATATACGCTAGGAAATGAATTGGACGTTAGAGTCTATGTATCTATGATTTCAAAATGGCTTTCTATTTTTGTATTTGAATATTCTAACCATTTCTTGTCATTGGACGTCATAGATTAGTTTCTTAACGAGCAGTGAAATAATGCTTGGACTTTGCTAGACCAAAGTGGTACTTTTTTACCAAGCATTTTATGCAAGATAAGTTTTGCTATTAAACCTACAATCCTGAACAAAATTGTTGAGGAAAAAACCCCTGTAAATTTGAACCTTCCCCCCTTTCCCCCGAATCAATGTTGGATTAGTAGTTCTTTCATATATACTTGCGTTCAGCATTGAATCGTGGGGAGGTGGAAAATTATTTTTAGAAGGAAAGAGAATACAATAATTTTTCCTGACAAGTCCCAACTATTTTTGTCCCGGATTGTAGTTTTGCCCTATTTACATGACATGAAAATAGCTCTTTGTAAGAAAAAAATATCCCTTTTAAGGAGAATAATGTATTGCCTTACAAAATTTGGCAGCAGCATGAATCATTAACCAAATTTATATAAAGCACGAACCAAATTAATTCGTGAATTTTGCTACTTTCTTTTTTGGAATATAATGCGTATTTTTCGTAAAATCGTTTACATTAAATCGTATTTGTCTCCCCATAAAATAACTTGTATTCAGATATAAACGGTTTTGCTTCTGTTCTAACCACAATATTTTGTTGAATTAAAAATAAAAAGGTTCCCAAACTTTTTGGGAGATAGCATACTTTTCATAACCATTCTGAACACTTGTCGTGCACCCCTTCTGCTCATTTGACACAATTTCAATCAAGAAGTGCAAGCATTATTGTAGGAAGTCATTTTTCAGTTTTTATCAATTTTTGCTTTAAACTTTGTCCTGTTTTAGTAATGCCAAAAAACTAAATACTAAGAGAAAACGAGACGACAGAAGCTTGAATTTAACTTCCACTCAATTCATTTCCTTAAAGCAGGCACCGCGGAGCGTTGAGATAAGTGGTGGGTCTCAAAAAGGTAGGGGGGGGGGGGGCTAAAGCCGAATAAAAAATGGCTTGACTTGTGATTTATTGGTAAATTCTTCGCATTTTTGGTAAAAGGTGATGGGGCTTTAGCCCCCCCCCCCCAGCCCCTTCCTGTCCGCGGTGCCTGCCTTAAAGTAAGCAATTTTCCCTAGTGGAGTTAAACAGCATATTGCTTATTGATATGCTTAAAACTTGAATTATTGATGGTAGCTGTTATAATCTCTGAAGAAGGCGAGGGTGTGAGTAACGTATGATATTTGGTATCAGCAGAAACTTAGATTTCTAGATCTTCTAAAAAGCTGTTTAATGAAATCAGACGTGCAGCTGACAGTTTTCTCTCTGATAACAGATTTGTGGATATGAAATCTGTGGCATGCGTTATAGGCTGATGATAATGATAATCTTTGTCAGTAAATTTAAGGAAATAAACAATGAAAAAGATTTTATTTTTATTCTGATTACAGATAGAGATTACATTTTTTTCTATTCTAGTGTAGTTAAAAAAGAATCCGTGACAGAAACTGACTTGAACTATACTGGATTTCTGTCTTTTTTTAAATGTTACCTGATTAACTTTTATGTTGATGATTTATTCATGAAGCATCCTACACTGTGTTTAGAATTTGGGCAGCCCTGAACAGACCTAAGATCTGTTAAAAGATGTAATAATTTTGCAGGAATTTTTCAGGCATTGAATCTTTTGTTGACCAATAAATCTTTGCAAGGAAATCCATTGTCATGCATTGTTGGTTGAATATTAATGGCACTCGAGAAAATTTCACTGCATTTTCATTTCCATTTATAATAGTTCATTTCTTTTCTTTATGATATTTATTCAGCTGAACAAGCTGATCTAGTCAAAAGAAATTACTGAATTACCCTGTATTCTTTTAAGTTATTAAAAATGATAAAAGAAGGTTGCAGTTAACAACACATAATTCAAAGGCTTTATGAAGTTTCAAGGGAGGCTGGCAGTTTGGGGCTTTTGCCGTTAGCTCATTCCAGAAGTCGCCTCTACGACACGAAAAAGATTTCTGCCCCGCGAATTTGTATGGCTAAAAGAAGAGGCACAAGGAATTAATTTGAAGTTATGATTTTATAGCAAAGTATTAGAAAGTATTAGAGACATATCACGATAAAGATGTATCTTATATTTGTGCACTTTCATATCTTAAGGTCAGTGTTGGTGGAATCGTATTGCTGAAAGATTCAAAGTCAGAGGAGCCAGAAAATCTTATAGAGCCGTTACCAGGTATGAGAAACTTTTCTTCATTATTAATTTTGTCACTCGTAGTTATAAACAATGCTTTGTGACTCGCTGAGTTGAATCGAATGAGTATATGGGATACTGATGAAGATCCTGGCCAGTGTGCAGTATCGTCCTATTGACTATTTGTCATAGGGCAAGCGGCTCTTCAGAGCTGATCCAGAGTCATTATTGAGTATTGTGTCGATATGGTGATTTAGAACATAGAGTGCATGACATCTAGCAGCCGGCTATTTTAGGCCTGTCCTATCATCTATTTGACTGCTTCCGGGGTTGTTCAGGAGCTGATGGAATCGTTATTGAGTGGCGTTGATATGGTGGATTGCATCAGAAAGCACATGACATCTAGGAGGCAGCTTCTTCGGGCCTCCCTTAGACACTGACAGCAGTCAAAAGTGTAGAGAGAACGGAAAGGCGTTCCTCTTGTTTATGTGGCCATCCAGACTTCTGCTTCGCTTAAAGCAGTGTAGAGATGCTTTACAACAACGCTACACAACGCAAAGCATCTCCCGGTTTTTAAGTAATACTGCGTTAAAGGCTAATGCTAAAGCAAAATCAGTGAGCTCATCAGGAGTGAGTCCAAAATGAAGTTTGTATAAGTAAACCTATGTTGCAGTGGTGGCCTAGCAAAAATAAAGAGCCCATGAACTATTTTCAAATAGGGACTCTGCTGGTCTCCATTTTCTGAAAATTTGTTGTACGAATTTTTTTGAATTCGACAAAACAAGCTAAATTTAATTTTCTTGCTGAAAAAGGAGTCACAGGGATGGTTTTCAAGGTTGTCACAAATTTTGCATTGCAATTGAACTTAGCTGAATTAGGAAATTAAGCTACTTGGCTATGTTTTGAATATCTTATTTGTCTCGAAATGTGGTCTTTGAAGCTAGAATTATTCGACACACCCAAATATTTGAAGTTTGAGATATCACCAAAAAATTTTGTGGGAAGGGTTATTAAAGGGCTATTAGCTCTTCAATTCTAATTTTTTCTTCTTTTGTGACAAGGGATTTGACGAGGAATAATTTTAAAATGGCTTTGAAAAAAGCAAACATTTTTTTTCAAAGTCCTTTTCAAGTTCTGTACCGCCCAAAAAGAATAATTTTTTTAATCAAAAGCATAGATCTTTTTCGAGTTATTAATCCAAAAGAAAAAATTAAACTTGAGAAAATAATTGAAAAACATTGCTATCTTGGAAGCGTCTTGAATTGATAGACTGTATAAAGCTTGGGGCATATGACATCGTGCTCATTCAGAACTTTATGTGCACAGCTGAAAGGCCATAACAGTGCTTTGATGTTTGCTTGCATAAGACTCCACCTTCTGTTTGCTCCATCTTCAACTTCATGCAAATAGATGATTTACCTTCTCTTCTGAAAAGTGGGGGCATGTCTTTAGTGTTGTTTCTAGTACAAAGATGAAACTGCTAGATGAAAAATGTGTTGCCCAGAAATTCCTTGGCTCGCTCAATTTGCAGAATAACACGATTCTTGCAATTGTCTTCCAGTTTATCTTCAGGAGACCTATATATGATGAAATAATAGGATTTCTAGGGATTTCTACAGGATTTTGATCTACGGGATTTCTAGGGGCCATGGGGGAATTTCCTGGTGTCCTGGTGCGACCCGCCGCCTCTGCTATGTCGAAATTTCCATATCTCACATAATGGTGCTCTAGTGACCTTTACAACAGAGTTAGAATTGTGATTGTCAGAGAACGAAACTTTGGCCACATAGCTTAAACTAAACCAGTTTGATTATTTCAATTGCATTGCATAATATGTGGAATTAACACTTTTAAGTCCAGATTACTTGTTTGTTATTTTAAACTACGAATGATTTTGAAATCTTCGTGATCTAAAATTCAAAAGCCTGAACTCTTACCTATAAAACTTAAAATAGAGCTGTCGATTAATTTTCACCTATGGCGGAGTTTTGCTCGTTTAGCCTCTTTTGATAGGGTACTCAAATGCTCTCTATGGAAAAACTTTTCAGCATGCTTACATGTATGCTTTTAAAAAAGCCTACCTTATCTTGAAAGCTTTATATTGATTCCGTGATGAGGGTTAGAAATTCTAAGAGAAATGTCAATAACGTAGTATGGTGCAACGTCATCAGGAGACTTTAATACTGTGATTTCACTACAAATTTAGGTGTTTCCTGGTTGTTTTTCATCAGGTTTTTTAACAGTGCTACTTAAGGTACCATGTTTGCTACGTCACAAAAACTTTTTTTTAGAATGTTCTAATTTTAACCACATAGCATAAAAGAGCACTAGGAATTCTTCCTATTGTGCAAGATCAGTCAAATATGTCCAAAATCGGGTGAGATATGACCAATGAAAGATTTCAAGTTTGCTAGCGAATCACTGTTATTTTGGATATGTTCATAAAGTTATAAACAGAGACCAAAATACAGAGGTTTGATGGGGAATGAGCCAATACACATGTGGCCATATTTCTGCCAATTCATAACACAATTGAATGATTTTGTACATTAAAAGGTATTTCACGATGCTCTTTAAGGTTATGGGATCCAAATTCAAAAAATAGATTTTTGTGACGTCAACACTTTGGAACTCCATTACGCTTGGTGTGTAGAACAGGATTTGCAACTCCAAGTTGCACGCTTAATGCGCGCAGCAAGTTTATAGCTCTGCCTATAGGCACTGAAAAAAGGACAAAAAGATTTCGCTCTACCAAAATATTCAATTTTTGACTTGCTGCTTTCAGCAAAGTTTTAAAGAGATAAAATCATTAATCTATCATTACGTGTTTTCATCCTGAAACTGGGTGTTATGTGAGACAACGGCTAGACTAATCTATGATATTCAGTGTCAGTCATTTAATTCTATGATAAACAGTATATTTAGATGCAAACTCATTTAAACCTGCAGTAGACTCTGGTGAGGTAAAGAATAGCCAACCTCTCTTGGCATTTTGTGAAAATGCAAATAGTGGGAAATTATTCCTTTTTTTATCATCATTTTTAAAGACCAATTCAATTTTTATGCAATTTTCCCTGACGATCGCATTAAACTTGCAACTTTGAGTTGCGACTTAAAACCGTCCTGTTCTATAGACCAAAGCATGTACGGCTTCACGCACCTTATGACACGCCGTTAAACAGTAATCTTCCTTAATTTAATTTTGATATAACCGTATTTTCTTTAATCCACTTTTCCATTTATCATGAGCTGCAATATTAGAGGTTTTCTCAAATATGTTTTCTAGTATGCTGCAAATACTTGAAATAACCTGAAATAATTCCCAATAACGCTTTTTTAGGTAATTAATGTTAAATTTTATGGTTTAGGCTGAATAAAATTGCTCTCTTTAATTTCGTTGCAAACTTTGGTGCCTTAAACGTCAAGTAATTGCTGGTAGAGATGCCGGAAGTGCTGCAGAGCAGGGGGTGGGGACAGTGACATAGTGCTATCAAAATAACAAGGGGGCTTGTTATTTTGATCTAACTTGCACAAATTTGTGAAAAACAATAGCAAAAGTAGAAATTTGCAAATTTTTGGCATTCACACAAGGGGGCTCAGCCCCCCTTAGCCCCCCAAAAAGCAAAATACAGAATCTTTCTAAATTTTTAGCAAAGGCGTGGAGACAATCGACGTCTCCCCGTTTATATAATAGTTTTGATTGGTCGCTGTGATGCGCCATTTTTGTGCAAAGGTCTCCGTCCTCATGCTCATGTTCATATGATGCACTCACACATTGGAATCTAGACTGGTCTTCCCAACAGTATTTGAACCTTTATCTTATCGCCTTTTTTGATATAAGCGTTCCTCTTGGAGAATTTAAGTATCCCTGTGTTTCCAAAACTAAGGAGAAAGGAGAGGAGTTCAGCAAGATGTCTAGGCCCATTACAAAACACGTGGACACGAGTCAGAACTGCCCGCTTGGACGGTTGTAAATTTGGTTTTGGTTTATTTTTTGGGCTGAAGATTTTCTAAAAACACCTCAGGCCTTTAAGTTATCGAATATTTGAACTTGGCACCTTAAAAATGTCTTGTGAATTGAAGCCTCTGCTCAAGCCCCGTCTACACGATACCGAATTCATTTCGTATCGGATCGCTTTTCATATCGGATAGGCCTTCTGTTCAAACGATGACGCTTGAATCCGATACGCTCCGTATCGTTTTTGCGGAGTCAAACCATTCTGCTGTGAATGTGGAATGGAATCATATCGGGTCGCTTTTGAGCTCGTGTGAACGTATGAATCCGATATGGTTTCGCTCCGGAACCTCTGTTTCGAAAAGGCAGCTTTGTTTTCGGGGTTTTTGAAAACAGTTTGGCACTCTTTTCAAGACACAAAATGACAGTGGATCGCAGTTAAACAATAAATATGCTCCTTGCGATGATGACGAGCTTCACAAGATTAATGCAAAGGAAAATTAGATTGTTTGAAAATTGATTTCGAAATGTTTCTTCTTCGAAGCAAAACAGCGTATCAGTTTGGTCACATAAAAATGCATTAAATCAGAAAAAGAGCAAAACAATGAACAACATTCCAGTTGCGATGCAACTGCTTCATTACAATGGATTTTTCGGAGCACTGTTGATGCGTAGCGTCACCGTGTGAACAGGAGAGAATCCGATACGAAATGAATCCGGTATCGCGGAACAGAGCTTAATATTCGTATAGGATTGGGTCAGTGAATCCGATATGAGATGAATCCGGTATCGCGTGAACAGGGCTTCAAATACCACCGCAGAGGCCCCGAAACAAAAGGCTGCACCCCGCAGTGCGGAGTAACTACTGTCGTGTAAACAGGAGCCCTATCTGCTATGAGACGAATCCGATACGGTGCAGCGAATCCGGTATCGTGTCAACGCAGCCTTAGTCCTTAATCCCGAAACACCCTCATTCCTGGAAATATACCCCCTTCATTCAAAACATTTTCCAAGCCTCTTTGCATTGTCAAGAGGCATCTTTGGCCTAGATTTTAGCTCTTATCTAACGGCTTTTTCTCTCCTGATATCTATCAACACAATCTCTTACTACAAATTCTACTAGGAGTAAAAAGAAGGTATAACCCTTGTTGATATGAAAGACCATTAACGGCAATGCCAAGAATTTCTAACACTGCTGTTTAGCAACTGTACTTGTGTACCTCTGTGAAGTATAGATGTGCGTGGATAGCTAGCACCTCTGTAAAAGAATTGATCGAAAAAGATTAATTTTTTCAGCCATTTGATTATGCCTTGAGGTGCAAGACTTTTTTTGACAGACAAGATGGTTGGATTTCGCAACTGTCTTGCCGCTGACATTAAAAAGATTACTGAAAATGGATCGTTGATCCCAGCATGAATAATGATTTTTTATCTCAACTGAATGAGGTTTCTTGCTAAACACTGAGGTCTTTGTCTTATGTGTTAGGCGTGATCAAGACTCTACTGAATCTACTTTCATTCACTCTTAAAGTGTAGTCCTGAAAATTTAAGTCGATTAGTTATTAAAATAAGAACCTTGGACAGTGATTGCCAAATGTCACTTTTTATTGTGTTACAAAGTTTTATTGTTCCTAGTTTGCTCATGATATTTGGGTCCCGTGGTAACAAGGAATGAAAGACCTATTGATGTGTTGGTCTCTAACCAGCTCTTCCTGGGGTTGTCAAGAGCTAAATCCTTTTATTTTAGGCTTTACGATATCACGATAAAGAATCAATATAATTGTTACGTTTGTTACAATTGTTGATAATATGTCTACATAGATTAAAGCTGAGATAGAATCGCTGCTGTCAAATGCACACAACGGAGCTAGACAGATTTTGATTCTTCCATCCCAGCCAGCAAGCAAAATTTGAAAATCGCTTTGAACCAAGCAAACGTTTTACAAGATATTGGAGCTTTTCATTTAACGAAAAGCTTTGCAGACAAAAAGCTTCAGTGTGTTGTTAAATGTTTAATTTCTCAAACCCGTTTCAAATTTTTTACCCGCCAAATTAAGCCCAATTTTATAGCCCTCCTACCAAACACACAAAGGAAGCAAGATTTTGGTAAAATCGCGTTTATGGCCCGCACTGCACCCTCAGGACAATTTGTTTCTACAGAAGTAAAGAGGGTTTCTCGAACGCGTTCTTCTATGTAAAGGATAGCTTGTGAGTCGACCCTATCTCTGTTCTTATTCTGATTGAGCACAGTATCTTCTGCCTATCTTGTTGCTTGGCTGGATAGACGATGCAATATATGCATGTGATGTATTCTATAAGCTCTCACTGGCATTCATGTTGGTACCCCCGTAAATATTGACTAGCCTATTGATAAAATGCGAGGAAATCTTAACTTCAAGACGAAGGATTTGCTGGAAATTTATGCTATTTGGCAGTTTTTCTTTCTAGTCATATAAGCGAAGCCAATTGTCAACAGGCAGCTTTTTATGGAAAGAAAACTGACATTGTAGACTAAGACCAGTTATTATCTAATAAAGTAGTTCTATTAATTGAAATGTTGCATTGTGCTTCTTGACCAGTCTTAATACCCGGATCTTTCTTGATCCCTCCTTTTGAGTCTGTTTTATCACGTTGTGACGTAATAAACGATCAAGATTTCTGCAAGCATGCTTTAACTGGTTTTTAGGCCCTATTTTCACGTCGTCGTACTTATGATGTATTAGCGCACTGGCCCTCAGTTTTAGTTGGTAATGAATGCTGCAACGAAGGAAGCCATTAGTCAGGAAATGAAAGCTGCATAATCTTGAAAATGACTCAAAAAACAGCGTAATATGACGACATTAAATGAAGTATACAGTCACGTTTTACGATTTATATTCTGAGCTATATCCTAATCTCCTTATCTATGTATTTCTTTAAATTAATACAACTTTGTGATATGCCAAGACCTAAAGGCATTCGGCTGATGTAATCAATGGCGTGCCTCGGTCTTCAGTTTGGTTTCTTTTTAATTGCAGCATCCATGACGACCGATTCAGAGGACGAGAAGGAGCCCGATCCACCAGAGCCTTTCACCTACACAGAGGACTAGGAAGATTGACATGTTTGTTTAACTTTCATTTGATAACTTACATAGTTTGGTCAATTTTCCAAATTATCATCTTTATATCTGTTAGACATGATCATCGTTATTATGGGATGTTGTAGAAAGATACTTCGCTATTCAATGTTTACATTGCCCTTTCTTTCTTGTGTTGGTAACTTCGATTTCGGTCTAGAGTTCCTGCCAATTTGGAAAAACATGAACCTACCTTGTGAACATATGAGAATTTTTCGGGCAAGAAAAGTTGCGATTACGTCAGCATAGACACAGGGATAATTGCTTGTTAATGGTGCAATGTCCTAAAAGGAATTTCTCTTTCTGGGTCCAAAGAAGAGCAAGCTGGGTGCGGCTGCACGTATAATGAAATTTTCCATTAACTTTCTCTCTCAACGCTCTAAAAGTTAGAAATCTTTTAGAAAATCATCTGGTTGATTCAATTGATACTGCGCATGCGTGAATTTGTCCTGATGATACTACGCCCTCCCTCGTGAGACGATTTCGTTGTCTGCAAATTTTGTTTAAATTCCTAGACAAAAAAGCGGTGTTTAAGCAACCAGGAAAGTTTATTTAATTTCCTAACTGTGGATTACCATTGCGACGCCATATGTCAGTAAATTTAATGGACAAAATTTCACAGGATCCAATGTGGTCAGAAGTGGATTAAATTCCCTTACATCAGTTTCAGTTTGGAAATCGTCTTCAGTAATGATTTTCCGTCGCAAAATTCTTTCAATTGAACTAGGTATGCACAATTTGCAAGGGTGACACAATATCAAGAGATTTCGTCGTTTGTGTGACATGATTCAGCCAAATTTCTTTAAGTTCGTTAATTTTGATTAATTTAAAGAACTTACTGTACATGAACATGTCCAAAGCTCCAAATCAGCAAATTTTTAAGGTGAACAAACTTCTGATCAATCTTAAAAAACACATGGGAATGTTAAAGAGAAAAACAAAAAAAACACCCATTGTTTTGTTCACTATGAACTTAGGGTCATTGTTCCTTTTGTATTAAGTTGCATCAACTACTACCCTATAAAATTAACAAATGCATGGACATAATGCCCACTGGGAATGTCCTAGGGGACCTTTGCCTCAGCTGTTTAACTTTCCGCTCTAGCTAAGTCAGAATAAAATTGTTAATCTTTCGAAGATATAAAGATTCAAATAGCCTGCTATTCAGAGGTGGCGCCGGAAATTTTCCGACAGAGGGGTTGGAGCTTCCGACAGGGGGGCTATAATGACTAAAATATGCAGTTTTCGTACGCTATTTTGTCAAATTTGCTCCCACAATAACCTAAAATTTCTTCCAATGGGGTGCTAGATGCTACCGACGGAAGGGTTGTAGCCCCCTAGCAATCCCCTGGTGTCACCATTGCTGCTATTACAAACACACTGCCTGATGTCGATGTTTCTGATTATTCCTCCATTCTCGGTGGAATTATTCAAGTATTCAAGTAAGGCAGAAGAAATGTTCTTTTTATGATGCGAATTCTTGAAGAAATAGGGATTGGCCTAGTTTCATGGCTGAAAATGAATATTTGGAGTAGAAAGTGAAGTGGTAACCGAATTTCGTGCAAAAGGGTATGCAAGCATAACTCTTCTTTGGCGACTGCTGCATTTCAAATTGTCAGGCAGATTTTCATTATTATTATTATTCACCTGTAAATACCCGATCCATGCATTTCAAATCATGCCAACCGTTGTTAGCTGAATTATAGAACCAAAGAGCCTAGAGTAATAATTTTATGCCACTTGAAAAAGGCCTTGGTTTTCATTGTATCGAGGGAGAAGGTTGTTGAGATTATTGTGGTTTGATTCACTCATATTTGCTTGTTTTAGATAAAACCATAGTTTCCATCAGCTTTATTTCGGCACTGGATTTTTAATGGATTGTAAATATCTGTTGTGATTAAAGTTAATAACTGCTTGGAACTGTTATGGAGCTGGGAATTTAGAGAAATGAAAAATACATACTACGGGGAAAGTCTGAATTCTCTACAAATTAACATATATTTATTTACATTTATCCTAATTCGTAAAATTTTCATTAATCAGTTAGCGTTGTTCGTATTCATCAAATCAGGAATTCTATGTATTTTGTGCGCAGTCAACGGTTATATCGCCAGAAGACCAAATTTTGCCTAAAAGGTTGATTGGTTAAAAAGCAATAAAATGGCTGTATTTGTGGAAACGTCTGTTAATTTCTATCAGCAGATTAAATTTGGAACAATATTGTTCTGCGTTTGCTGTAATAACGGACAGTGTTGCGGGATTTCGTGCAAAGGAAAGTTCGCATGACGAAAATACGAAGGTCAAACTAAGACCGTATTTGTTTTTCTTTCCGAAAATCTAAAGCTTACATTGTTGGCGAAGTGGTTCCGAAAAATGTGCCATAAAACGCCCTCTGCCGTCTAGAACTTCATCACAACCAAATTGATTCATAAGCACATTCAGGATTCAATGAATTATATGTTAGTTGAATGTACTTCCTGCCCATTCATTGAACAAGTTTCTACGCAAACAAGACAAGCAAATTCTGGAATCCTTACTGTGTGAGTATTGGATGTTACGTTTGTGAGGAATGCCACAGTGGCAGGGGGAGCCAACACTCTGATCATCTTAAGCAAACTACAGCGTAGTACTGAAGAGTGCAGTTCTGAAGAGAAGACTGCATAATTATTTCAAGAGATTTCAAGCGCCAGTGAAGAATGAGGTATGAGTCTACCAAGCATTTTCTTGAATTTATTTTCAATCGTTATTATCAAATAATCAGATTTTGTACGGAGGTCTGCTGTTACCTGTCGCCTATTCATGGAAACGTTTTTCTCAAAAGTTGTTTCTTTTATTTGTCATTGTCATATAACGATTTAGGAGATATGCCAATGAGATTTATAACGATAAAGACATTTATTGTGCTTTCATTATATGAAATTGAATGTATCTTTCTTTCTACGCAATTTAAAATTTTTTTGCGAAAGCCTGGACCTGACAAAAAACTAGATTGTTCGCTTCCACCTATGCATCGAACCTACGCAGCTCTATTCGATTTCGTTTCTTTTAACTAGCATTAAAATCGAATTGCGAAGGATTTGCTTATCTAGATTTATCTGAAATCCCCAAAATCGGATGTGATATGTATCTACAGATTTGAACGATGTGCACAGTTATTAGACCGCTGTTATCAAAAAATCCCCTTATAACATGCAGATTTGGCCAAAAGATAAACAAACCTTTGTTTGTCAGTTCCTTCCTTATTCATGCAACAAAACGCATTTTATCAAATATTTTACATCTATTATTGTTTCGTCAGGGAATTAAAACAGAACCTTGCCATCCTCTGTCAAAAGCATTTTGTTACAGCAATTCAATCCGTGTACCAAATGTTCACAGAAGTTTTGATTTTGCGTCAATTTTGTTTTGGCCTCGAAGGTAGAACGAGGCAGTGAATGTATCGTTTTCATTTCCGAAGGTATGTTTTCTTTACTCTAAACCAAGATAAAATAAGTATTTTATCTTATTTGAACTTAGAACAATTTTTAAAGCTTCTATCAATTCGAACTGAATTTTTTTCGACAAAACGTATCTGCAAATGAAAATTTTAGTGAGTTTTAACTGATATGCTGCAGCCATTTTGTTTCAATGCTAAAATTCATTGACACAGCTCACAACCGCAATTTCCCAAAGTTATTGGCTTCAATCATTGTTCATTAACTGTGTGTTCGCCTTTCTTAGTAGCGATTTTTCAATTTTAGCGGCTTTCGGCGCTTATATGTGTTTGGTCGATCGTTAATTTGCTTGAACCAGGTTTTGAGAAGAGGGAGAGGGTTGGAAACAAACTTAAAATTTCTAGGCGACGCCCTTTTAACTGTCAGAAAAGACCCTTTTTGCAACAGGGAACGCCAATTTTACCAATTGCAAGCAGCGTTTGGTTACGTAAAGGCAGCTTCAATATCATAGAACCACGTTACAAGATTACTTTGCCAGACTTTCAAATTTCCCTATAAAATTCATCATCAAATCTAACGAATTAAAAAGTAGAGGAACATGTCCCAGCCCCCCCCCCCCCAAAAAAAAGCGCCGCAAGATAACAGCAACTCCAATTATTTCAGATAGAATGTGGTTCCGTTATATTTGAACCAAAAGATTATTTGAAATTTTGACGTCTTACCGATCCAACAATGTATTAAACGTTTGCCAACTCATTGGCCTATGTAAACTGTTATTGTGAGCAACCAAACATACGTACATTTCATAGTTACAATGGCAAAATACGATTGTCTAGATTTGTGTTGAATGTAAATTGGCAGAGCTGTTATTATAACGTTCTTCGGACTTGGTCCCGTGAATGTTTTTTTACAAACAAGTCTCGAGGGTTAGACCTGACAGAACTGCTATGCATCTTGGGGTCAGGTGATATTCGAAAAAGCATAATTTTGTAAAGTCCTGTCTTCTGTCACTGAATTTAGCCAGTATTAACCAACCTTCGCCTGCCCGTTTAATAACTGGCGTTCTACCATCGGCCGATGCTGTTTTTTAAAAATGCTCATTGCGCATGTCGAGCAAGGTCATGACTAAAGGTTGAACAATTTTTTAAGATCTCTTTTACAAGACAATTCGAAAACCATTTGCATTATGGACTCGCGCCCTTTACATCTTGTTTAAAAATAGTAATACATCAAGAAAAGACGTTCTTTGCACAAATTAGTACTTAGTTTTTGTGTGCCTTTTGTCTTTTATGACCCAAAGGAAAGCCAAACAAAGAGCTTGTCATTTTCCAACCATGAATTAGTTCTAAAAAGATTCGTTCTAAACGCAGGAAGTGTCTTACATAATGATTGTGTTGCCAACGGGCAAGTGGTAAGCTGTTTTGTGGTAACTTGGCTGCACATGCAAATTGTCAAATTTCCGTAGAAAGCAGTTTCTTATGGGTAAAATCAAACATACTAATGACCCAAGTGCTTAAATGGCACTATGGTAACCCGATTTAAAGAATGGTGGCCGATTTCTAAAAACAAATATTTGCTACAGTTGAAGAAATTTAAGTGCAAGACAAGTATTACTTCTGCATAACGATGGTTAGGTATTGCTTCATTCCCGTTGTTGATTGCAAGTTAGATCTACAGTGCCTAGGTTTAGCGTATTACTTCTGATTAGCGTCGTAGCACTTATTAAATGCTTGTGGACGACAAGGCAGCGATGATATGAGGGCAGTAGAAGTGGGTCAACTTGGAAACAACATCTTATACTAACACTGTGTACGCTATCTATAAAATGTACACTTGGAATGCGAGTTTATCTCTTGACTTATGAAATGGTTCGAAGTTGCGGCGTTAGTGGCTAATTAGAGGGTGGAGCAGCCTTTAAACAATTTCAGATGGTGCAGAATTAACTGTAGTGCGGCGATAATTAGAATATTTATAATTAGAGGATAATATAAGGACGGCGTTAAATAGAGAGATGCACTAAATAGAGTTAAACGGCAAAGAGATTACTACTGTTACTAGGAATAGGTAAAAAAGACTTTGTCATACTAGTTGGCTTTCCAAGATATACCTCAATCTACGTTTGTAGACTTATTCTTATATTTTGAAACAGCAAAGATCATTCTTCAACCCAACTTATATTGTTATACTTTTTTTTCTAACAGTAGAAAGTTATTTTGCTTCCCTTAATATTCACAATTTTCCCTTACTTGTCACAATTTATAAACAATATTTTGCTTAAAACATTATCGAAGATTGTTGCCATGCACTTCTGTGCTTGGTTATAGCCATATTACACACAAATAAACATGTTTCTCGATTCCAATTAGAATCAAGTCAGTATCTGAATCCTCAGACTAGTCCCAGACTTCTTCTCATGCACGTAGTCTGGATTAGAGTATCATCATTCTTAAGAAGTCTCGTATTGATCCATTGAAGATTACTAGCATTTGCACCCTTTTCTTGGACAATCTCATCAGCGCAAACACAGCTTTAATCGATGACACAGACAGTATAGTGTTGCACCTCCTAAGACTACCTGGAATTAGTGGACGTCGTCTTTCGCAGTCAGTTTACCTAAAGACTTGCCAAAGTAACTCCAAATGTAAACACAGCCACAAACTGTAATTTCTCGGTTGTTAAGTTTTTATTTCTCCCATATTTTGTCTAATGACGAGTTTTGTCCAACAACAGACCATGAGCCAAACAGCAAAGTCGCCCTGTCGAAATTGTTTTGCTTTTAATAGCGAAATCGCTTTTCGCATATGGAGACAGGTTCGGATCTCATCAACCCATGTACCAAAGACCAATTACATTATACTAGAGGCTTCTTAGGATTTCTTCACAGTGGCCATATAGTGGAATTTTTTCTCCTTGGCAACGCTCTACCCTCTATCCTTGGCAACGCTCTACCGTCAAGTTGTTTCTCTCTAAAGAAGGGGACGTTTAATAAAGAGAGATGTTTTGAAGGAGGGGGGGGGGGGAGGTTGATAAATTGTTTAAAATTTTCCCCTTAGGATTATCGGCCACTTTTCTCGATCTAATATTTTCTGCCACTCGAAAAATAACGAGCAGGATATATTTGAGGCCTGTATCAATAAAATTCTCCAAACTGTTAAAAGGCTTTATCTAGGACCTTTTATAAAAATTTAATAAAGATTTTCAGTAGGAAGGAATGTTATCACTGTGGTCTTTCTTGAATTGTGATTTTTTTTCTGGAATTTTGTTTATCGCTGTGGTTATTGTTTCCTAACTAGCTTTAGCTGGAAATTGTCGCCAGTCGAATCAAAACTCTAATGATGATGTTATGTTTGTCATTTTGTGTTATGCTAATAGACTCTTTTTTTTATTTAATGGCATTTATCATCAAATTATGAAGAAAGGAATATTTCTTATATCGCAGTTTAAAAAATAGTTTCATGTTGCCAAGCCTTTTAAACCTAAAGGTTTTGGTTCACATCACAGACATCTTATTATGAATCCTTCAATTTCAAGTTCTTTTGCTGTCTTTGGTTCACCAAAAATTCTTACAATCGCAATTTTGACAAGCATGAACGAAATTGTTGCTTTATTCCTTAAAAACATGTCTATATCAGCGGCCAAAGTGATTGTTTCTAGTATCTGTGATATTTTCCACTCCCTAAGCCAATTAATGAAATATTCGTTTGGTTCAAATATCTAGAAAATTGTTTTTATTGACCAATAAAGTGGAGGGGTAGCAAATATGTGGAAGCTGCTGGTAGATGAGGGCAAGGACCGAGATTCTGGGGGCCAAAAAACCTAACTGGTATAAGTAAAATACTTTTATTTTGTAAAATATGGCTGTTTTTACACTTATTTATCAAGGCTACCCCCCTCCCCCCAGTATCTCGGTCTTTAGATGAGGGCCCAGAAATCGAGCTTAGGGTTCGGATAAGAACATCGGGCAACAGGATTAATACGGTTGGGCTTAGACAATTAAAATGGGAACAAAGCATAATAGGGTAGAAGTAGTTGATAATTCACATAGATGCATAGTAAAGTAAGTTTAAAACACAAGGTAAGTATAGAATGGGGTATATCTATTACAGAGGATAATCTTATTCGAGAAGGTCATGAGGTCTAAAAATTATGTCGTTGGCCACCAGGCTCTTGTTAATGACGGACACAGTACAATAACTTTGCGCTGAACTTGCAGGCGGATTTGACGAGAATACTCCCCTCCCCAAATCAATCAAAGCGAATTGTACGG